GCACAGAGGAGGCTTTAAAATAATGGAATCATAACAATTTTTCTAAATATTTAAAATTAATATTACCTTAATATTATGTGTAATTTACGTTGGTTAGGTCAGTCATACTATGCTGTCTCATATTCGACTTTTACGTATAAGTAAGGTGCAGCTTTACTGCTTTCCTGTGGTTTTTAGTAGGTGAAGCTTTTGAATGAAATACTTCACCTAAAAAGAACCAATGAAATTCTAACGAATATATATACATTTACAGCAAATACTCAATTTTGAATGTCTGAATTTATCGATGGACAATCGCGTCTAGTACTGATTATCTACTTACTTTCAAAACGGAAACAGAGTGGGACTTTTAGCAGGGCTGGCGCATGTCTAATAGCCACCACAGGTCAATTTTCTGAAAAAGTTGTCACAATTAATTATAAGAAATTTCCATATAATCTGACGAAACCTCTCATTGGTGTAGTGATATTCTTATGTTGTTGCATAACATATTGAGGCACTATCCTACAAGCCGGATGGTCACGGGTTCAAATTACGATGAGGTCATTGCATGTTTTCAATTCACTTGATCTTTAGAGCCTCACTATGGGCCTAGGGTCGATGCAGCCTCTAGCAGAAATGAGTACCAGGAATCTTCCTGGGTGTTAAGGGTAGCCGGGGCGTAAGACTGATAACCTCACTGTCATCTGTGAGACAATTCTCTAAAGAAAATGTGAGAGCCTCGACGTCTCGCAACCCTATTAGCCTCCACGGTCTGTTACAGGGATAGTTTCAACATTTTACACAATACATTCAGATTACTGCCAATTATTGAACATCAAGACCGATAAAGAGATCCTCAAAATTAATTTTCGTTTAACATTAACCAAACCAAACAAAAGCGTCTTCAAGCTATGCCTTCAGATGTCCCAAGTGGCCGCATCGGCCTTAGGTACAAGTGCTGGATAACATAACATGTCAGTTTGTAGTGCGGATTTTAGTGCACAGAGAGCAGCACTACACGTGACACGCAGCAGCTCTCCCCTGCTTACTTTATGTCTTGATAGTGGAGACATGCAGCAGTATATTGCAGTAACTTGTGGACTAACTCAATAGACCAGAGGTCCAAGGAGGATCGAACCTCAAGACATGCATCTTTCATAGCGATGTTGCTGTTATATGGGATGGATGGGTCCACAATTCTTTCTCGCTTCCCCCAAACTCCGCCACCCTACTCGATCTACTCTTCCTTGCCTGACTCAGAACTTTATGGTGTTCCACCCTTGCAGTTGTATACCTCTCACAATGCACGCAACCCTCCGCGTTACAGCCAATAAACCAATTTGCTACAAGGCGCACGCTGGGGTCGCGGGTTCGAATTCTGGAATTCAAGTAATCTTTTCATCACCAACCATCAACAACTCCTGAAGTTAACCAGCACAATTTGTGGGTTCCCTCATTTCATTGTCCCCACATTCAGATAATTGACGACTGAGGAATTCTGGGCAGTAACAGGAGAGAGGAAGGAGCCGGCGTAGCTCAGTCTGTATAACGACTGAAACGGGCTGGACGGCTGAAGGACCGGGGTTCGTGTCCCGATATCGAAGAGATTTTCTCTAACGTCCAGACCGGTACTGAGGCCCACACAGCTTTTTATCCAACGAGTACCGAAGGCTTTTTCTCTGGGAGCAAGGCTACCGAGGTGTGAAGCTGTCCACTCACCTCCAAATTGTGCTTATGTCAAGAATAGATAGGTCTATACACCCACTCCCCCATACACCTTCATGGCCTAGTATTTAATTACTTAAGCACGAGGACAACTTTACCTTCAAAGGAAAAAAGACTCCGTGGTTTTAGTCCGCAAGCTACTATACCGACCGAACAACCGCCGTTTGCAGGTGAAGTTAGTGCCAACTTCAGCGGATAGAGGGTGTGGCGTGGTCAGCGCAATGAATCCCCATAGTCGTTAATTTCGGTTTTCTAAACCGGAGCCGCTATTTCCTTGCAATAGCTCCTCACTTATCCTCACGAGGCTAAGTGGACCCCGTTTCAGACACATTACTTCTGATAAAATCCGGTAGCGCAGGGAGTCCAATCCAGGACCTCAGGATCTGTAGCCAGGAACTCTGACCACTAGACCACAGAGGCGGTTACCTTCAAAGGAAGGAAGATATGAATATGAAAAAATGAATGGGTTACAAAAACTACATTTTGCTTCATTCTTTAATTTTTTTTCTATACTTTTCTTTCATTAATTCCACTATTGAAATCAGTCTTGGAAAAGTAAATGAAACAAGATTGGATGGGTTTAGTTCACTTTACTTATGTGTTTCTCCAATTGGCCTTTATACACGTACTTGTTTGATGCAGCTGCAAATCACTTCATGGCTAAGCAACAGCAGACGGCATGCATAAGTATATAGAGGTTTATTAAAAAAATATTTTCATTTAGTTTCTGAGTTGTATTTCCTATGAGGAAGTAGAAGCAATATAAATTACATTTATATTGAATATGATTCATCACTTTTTTATACTGTGTTCCTTTTGAGAAATGTTCTAAAATCTGATTTCTACATCATGCAAAGGATGAAATCAGGAGCGAAGGAAATTACTTTTAACACTGTAAGAGTTCTATCTTCAGGATACAACGCCGTATAAATGTAAAGCAACAGGCCATGGGGGCCTATAGGGTCGTGAGACATCGAGGCTCCCACATTTCCTAGACAGTCGATTCACAGATGGCGGTGAGGTTGCCAGCCTTACGCTCCGGCCGCTCTTCACCCTCAGGAAGATTCCTGGTACTCACTTCCGTTAGAACCTGAGTCGACCCCAGGGCCGTAGTGCGGCCGGAAGGATTATGTAAAAGTAAAGTTAAAAGCTGTCCCCGTACTTAACAAATTAAGCATTACGTGATGGCTTATGGGGAAGTGGATGTATGGACCCAATTTTTCTTCACCTCGGCACTAGTTGGAGGTGAGTGGTCAGCTTCACGCCCCCTGTCGCTTTACCACCGGGGAAAGTTCCTCCGGTACCCATGGGACAGGAGGTTAGGTGGACCCCAGAGAAGGTCTAGACGCTGCGGGGAAGAGAAAATTTTTGACTCTACCGATACTACAACCCCTCGGTCGTCCAGCCAGGAGCCAGTCGCTCTACCGACAATTGAAAAATTCAGTGACCTCAACAGGAATCGAACCCGTGACCATCCTGCTTGTAGCGTAATACCTTACCCAATTACGCTACCGAATGTCTCTACAGTGCCGTAAAGTCTGGTAAAAAATCAATATTTTTGAGAAACATATCGCCTCCATCTTTAGGATGGAGTTCGATGAAAGGCGTTTAATTTCTTGACCAGCTGAGCAACTTATCAGCTTCTGAAGGAAGGCTCTGCTCCATGGAGTTAGCTGTTTGAGAATCGTTATGTTTCTAAAGTGTAAACATAAATTTATCCCATGTGTGAAAAAAAAATGTTAAACCGTGTGTAACACTTCGAAATCCGTTGAATTCAATGATTTACCTTCCTATGTTCTTATCTTCTTGCCTCGGGTCTCTGAAGATCTATTATTCGTGGGGCCACGTGTCAAAAATCTCTCACGTTCGTGCGATGAAATTGAAAACTCGGCACCTCGAACACCGATTTTCTCATCGGGAGCTGAACGCCATCTTCAGAGTGTACGATACCCAGGAGTGAAATTCTTCTGGCCTCTGAGTCGGTGGGAAGGAATGATTCCTGGAGGTCATGATGCAACCCCCCTTACCCGCCTGCACCCCACCAACCCCTTTTGGGTCCATACCTCGTCAATCTCGTGTTTTAAGCACTTCCTGATACTAGAAATACTGTAGATATTACATCAAGTCATAAGTTAGGGAAGGAGTTAGCGTTTAGGAATAAGTAGCTGTGTCTACAGTCCGAAGCAAAGATTTGGGGCGCGATCAGTGATTCAGATCTTACGTTCACTTGGCGCTACATTCGTTACTGTTTAAAAAACATACATCACAATAATAATAATAATAATAATAATAATAATAATAGGTAAAAAATTTGTTACTAACAAAGAACACTTCAGTTGGTATTACTAATATTGTTATAAAAAAGGAATAGACGCCTCCGTGATCTAGTGGTCAGAGTTCTTGGCTTCAGATCCAGAGGTCCCGGGTTCGACTCCCGGCGCTACGAGATTTTCTGAGAGGTAGTGGGTCTGGAGCGGTGGAGGATAATTGAGGAGTTACTTCAAGGAAATAGCGCCTCCGGTCTAGAAAACCGAAATTAACGGCCGTGGGGATTCGTTTTGCTGACCACGCCACACCCTCTACCCGCTAAAGTTAGCACTAACTTCGCCAACAAGCGCCGGTCGTTATAGTTCGTTTGCGGACTAAATCCACGTTTTTTTTAATAAAAATTGAATTTTTATTACCGTCTGAATAATACAAGTTTCCTTATATTTTCTGTTGTTTGTACTAATTACTTTACAATTTATGATGTTTACAATTATATATTTATTTCTATTCAACTACATGTTTTGGGCTAACTGACCACTCTTATGTTGTAATAAATTCGTGTTCTATTTAACTGATTTTTACCATCCATTGGCCAACGTCCACATTAAATTCTAAACATTTGTAATTGTGCGGGTTCGTGAGGAGTTTGAAATATGAGTGGTTGAAGTATTACACGTTAAAAAAATTAAGACTGAAAAGACATTCGTTCTTCATTTTTAGATGGAAGTTGATTGTGTTCTCGGTTATTATTATAAATTGTTGTGATTGTTATCTCGCAGTAGCAGTTGTTTCACCTTTACGTGCTGCTATTGAAGCCGTTATTGTTGGGTGACGAGGGTGTTATGTGTAGATTTACTTATATTCGAGATAAAGGAGCTGGATGATGATGGCTTATACATGTACAGGCTCTTTAATCTTAGTGTCGTTCTTCCCTTATATATCGTGTATGTGGATTGTTGTTATTTTCTTAAAGATCGACGTGAGTTCGTTGTAATTTATGGGTTTGTGGTTGCAACTGATTTCAGCAAACCTCCGCCCTCCGGGATTTTCCTGCTTGCTGCTTCTGACAGTTCCGGTCTTCTCAAATAGGGTAAGTGCAAACGTTGCTTCAACTAGTTAGTAGTCATGGGTTCTTATCTCAAGGAAATGTGGTTGCTTTAGCGACGGGGGCAGTAATGAATCTTCGGCAGTTTGATATGGTAAACTGTTATATAAACACTTAGGGAATTTCAAGTCGATTTCTCTTATATTCAAAGCACTGAGTTTATTTTCGATCATTACACTTTGTAGAATTACAGTTCACACTCTAAAATTTATGTTCTCACACAAATTAGAAAAAAAGAACTCCTTACTTCAGCTTTCTATTATCTCATTAAACTTCCCCACAGTTACCAGAGCTTCAAGAAAGTTCTTAATAACTCTTCTAAAAATTCTTCACAATTCTCCAAACTATATAAACAGCAACTACTTCCCCACTCCGAAAGATATTTTATGTACATATCTTTGCCACTATAACCGTCTAAAAAGATATAACCAATTTCCCTCTTGATCCTGAGGTTCCAAGTTCGAGGCTAGGAGAGGAAATTGGACTCCTTCTCCCATAATCACGAAGTTTTGACTGTCAGTTCCGAGTGAGTCTACCTCAGCTGGGCTTTATGGTCAGGCGTTGGCAATGGACCTTTCTTCAGCAGTCTTTAACTATCGGACAATAAAGATCATTTTCAAATATTCCTTCTGCATTGTAATATTTCACTTTTATAGTAAAAGAATCCTTCCTTTTCTTGTTAGCTAGGCCTTTTGAAACCACATCATGTTGGGTCACTTCTTTTCTAAACGACTAAGAGTGTAAGTGCCTGAGAAGTGGTTCCTTAGTTGGGAGGGCCACCCTAAGTGACAGTAGTTACATATTTATGACCAGGTTAACTTTAAACAGTAGACCTCTCACCCTTTGCTTGACGTTGTGTCTGTTGATGGAAACCGTTATCTTCCTTTTACAGAATAACATGAGAAATATACAAGTAACATGACTTTTCCTGGGGGAGAAATTCTTTAAAGCTGAAGTAATAATAATAGGTGTAATAAAATAAATTATAATTTCACCAAAACACCATAAATACTGGAATGGCTATGGATGATACGCTAGCCTACATACTTACATCTTCATGGGAAACATACAGTTTCTATCATAAACAGTAATAAATGCTTTCACTCAGGGATTTTACGATTATATCGTTCTTTGTTGATTTTATTCCTTGGTACATATTTATCCTTTTATTCTTCTTTCGTCTATTGTGGAATTATCGTATTTTTTTATTTGCCTCGTCTGATTAACACTCTGTTAGTGATGATGTCTGAGTCAGATTCACATATAATAACTGTAATTCACAAAATGACCCATGTTAGGTTGGCCTTTGTCACCACAGCATGGCGCGTCCTCAGGTTGCGGATTTAGGGGACACCCTCCAAGTATGGAAGGAAGCTGCAAATATATTAAATAAGCAGTCGCTGACAGCCGACAAGAAGTGGTCCTCCAACTTAGGGGTTGGGCGTGAGGCTAACAACTCCTCGCCGTAAAAATAAACCTGTTATGAAAATGTCCAAAAGCCTCGGACTTGGACGCATTATGTGGATAAACAACCTAGACGATATAAACTGGATATGAGATTTGGTACTTGGAATGTTAGAAGTGTTCACAGGGCAGGTTCACCCGTTAATAAAGCTTGGGAAACTATTAGAGAGAATATAAAAATGTCTGCCAAAGAGAGTCTAGGTTATTATGAACCGAAGAAGCATAAGCCATGGTTCGATGAAGGATGCTCAAAATTATTAGATCAAAGAAAACAAGCCAAATTTCGGTGGCTACACGATCCAAGAGAAATAAATATGGATAATCTAAACAATAAAAGACGTGAAACTGGCTGGGATTTCAGGAATAAAAAGAGGAAATATCTGAAAGACAAAATTGATGAGCTTGCAATGAACAGTAAGAACAAGTACCTTACAGACCTGTATAGAGGAATAAATGACTTCCAGAAGGTTTACCAACCTAGCAGTAACTTAGTGAAGGATGAGAATGGTGATCTGCTTGCAGATTCCCACAACATTTTGAATAGATGGAGGAACTACTTCTCCCAGTTATTGAAGGTACATAGGGTCAGTGAGGTGACACGCGGTAGCGTAGTTGGTTGAGGGGCTATGCTACAAGCTGGAAGGTCGCGGGTTCAAATCCCGATTATGTCATTGGATTTTCTCAGTTGATCTAATCCTTCCAGCCGCACTATGGCCCTGGGGTCGACTCAGCCTCTAACAGAAATGAGTACCAGGAATTAAATAATTTTCCTGGGGAGTAAAGCGCGGCCGGCGCGTAAGGCTGACAACCATACCACCATCTTTGAGCCGATTGTCTAGATAATGTGGGACCCTCAACGTCTCACAACCCTATGGGCCTTCACTGCCTAGTACAGGGATAGCTTTACTTAGTTTACGTAGGGTCAGTGATGTTAGACAGACAGGAATACATATAGCTGAGCCGTTAATACCTGATCCTAGCCATATTTAGGCTGAAAGTGCTATTGCAAAATTGAAAAGGTATAAATCGCCAGGTAGTGATCAAATTCCGACAGAACTTATTCAAGCAGGAGGCGAAATATTACCTTCTAAGATCCACAATCTAATTACTTCCATTTGGCATAAGGAAAAATTGCCTGATTAGTGGAAGGAGTCTATAATTGTACCAGTTCACAAGAAGGGTGATAAAACTGACTGTAGTTATTATCGGAGGATATCACTGCTATCAACTTCATACAAAATTTTATCCAATATTCTTCCCTCAAGGTTAAGTCCACACATAGGTGAAAATATTGGGGATCATCAGTGTGGGTTTCGATGTAACAGAAAAACTACAGAGCAGTTCTTTTGCATTCGTCAGATATTGGAGAAAAAATGGGAGTACAATGAGACAGTACATCAGCTATTCGTAAACTTCAAGAAAACCTATGATTCAGTTAGGAGGGAAGTATTGTACAGTATTCTGATAGACTTTGGGGTACCCGTGAAACTAGTTAGGCTGATTAAAATTTGTTTAAATGATACGTGGTAAAATTCGTATAGGTAAATACGCGTATTTGTCTGATATTTTCCCTATCCAGAATAGTCTAAAGCAAGGAGATGCTTTATCGCCACTGCTTTTCAACTTTGCTTTAGAATATGCCATTAGAAAGGTCCAGGAAAACCAGGTGGGACTGAAATTAAATGGGACACATCAGCTGTTGGTCTGTGCTGATGATGTGAATCTGCAGGGTGATAATGTAGATACCGCTGAGAAAGTGAATTCACAAAATGACCGTTATAATATTTTATTCTTTCTTGTATGCATGCCTAGCTAATTTCATAGTTGTATTTTTGGCTGTACAATAAGAAATTAAATAAATAAATCATTACATTTTGGTATTGTTGAAGAGTAACACACACCTAAGTACTTGTATTTATAATCTGACCGAATTTCGAAGAATGTCCGAGTATTTGTTACACAGTCATGTTCGAAAAAGTCTTTGTGTTACACTTTATTTTACTAAATTATTCCTGTTACATGACTTCGACAATTTTCTTTCTGAATGTTGTAGCAGGATGTATAAGTGAACCTGTGCACTTACTGAGTGTCATATGTTGCATAAGAGCTCTTAACTAGCGCATGGGAAATAGACCAAGCTCTGATACATAGAGCTGCAATGAATAGAACACTGAGGTAGGCTGGGGCAATGGGACTTGTTTGCGATTATGAAAAAAAGTTGCAATCTCGAAGCTCGATTATGTCAATGAAATTTGACAAAATAACACGGCATTTCTTGAAGAAGATTTTGAACTTCATATGGATCTTGATCTGGAATAAATAATCAAAATCATTCTGAATTTCGTTCCTGAAGAAACTTGATAAAAAGTACCTTAATGTTTTTTTTTTCATTTTGACCAGTCTTTTGCATTTTCTTTTCTTAAACGACCCTAAGACCTAAATAAAAGTGGTTTCAGGAGAAGTAAAAGAAAGAAAAAGAGAAACATATAAGGAAGGAACGAATTCGTTCTACACAGCATAAAGAATCATGGGACCCAGGAGAAACACGAACCCCCTCCGCTTCCCAGTGATCGCGAATGCTGGTCTAACAGATGTAGGCCTATCTTCTCCATTCCTACTACTCTCTCTGTCTACGTTTTACCCACTTCTTACCTTCCCTCTTCACTTCTTCTCGTAAGTCTGTCGTTATATCTCCAGAGTAAAACCCCGTGAGATGTATGGATACCTCTTTAACATCGGTTAGTCTGTGTCTGAGTGGACCAGACTTCTACTGCAGAACCGTGAGCCACGGCAGATTTCCCTTAACCAACTCCAGATGCTAGAGATATTAAGAAGATGATAGCTAGTCAGCTATTCACTAGATTCCCCATCACCACGGAACTGAAGGTTCGTTATTCAGTCCGCAAGAGTCCGCTACTGTCCTCTATCGTGAGCGAAGGTTTGCTCGCCGACAAATGTCTGTGTGCTTAATGTCAGTTTGCAAGTATTCGTAACCTTTGCATTAGAAAGTGGTGAATGGTCATCTTCATTGTTTGCATCCTATTGTGTGAATTATGTCAACCGTCAACACAACAAATATACTCAATTTTAATATTCGATCTTTATTGCTGCTACATTTTTTTTTATTATTTATTAACAATCAGAATTACGTACATTCTATAGGTTAATGGTTTCGCTAAGGACTATTACATGTCATGCGAGGAAAATGTCCATCGACATTACCTCTTCAGAAGTTGATTTGTTTTAATCAGGTCATTTGGCCATTTCCTTATATTTCGGTGGTACAAGACCATCATCAGGCAGTTATACACAGGAATAAGTACAGTCATTGAGCTATCGATATGGATCCCTATCGGTGCAACGCGTTGTACTGTATACTATATAAAATTTTTGCTTCATGTTGATGTTATAATTAAAGTAGCAAATACATAAATAAGATAAAAGATAAATACTATATATCAAGATTTATAATGTGTTGAATATATTATTAAAAATATTTAAAGTATTTTTAAAAAAAGGTT